TCCACGGCAGTGGGTGTGGTTTGGGCTTTGCTTCTGTGAAGACTGACAGCCTTGGAGACCCTGTGGGGCAGTTCCACTCTGTCTTCCAGGGGCGCTGTGAACTGGAACCGACTCGGCTGGGTGTTTAGTTTTGGGCTTGGTTATTGGCTTATTTAGCTAGAAATTCCGGAGAGATCTTATTTCATGCCCTTACAGAACCAAGGGCTTATGCTGTGTGGTCAGAAACTTGCCTCTGTCTGTCTTTTCTGCTCTTGTCGGTCTGGGCTCAGGGAGGTGGTGATGACTAGGTGACATCTCCTGGCAGCTCCCTTAGCCTTGGTAACAGCGTTGTTAGCCAGATTCTGTGGTGTTTGGTACGCCAGCGTAGAATTCCACAGACTACAGCCTTGTCCCGAGAGGCCCTCTTTCCAGAGCAGGCAATGCCCTGAGCACTGGTCTTCGCCCCTCCCCCGCCAGCTAGCAGCACCTTCCATGTCACTTTGCATGGGTGGGAGGCCACTGCCCCAGGACACCTCCAGATGCTGGCATGCACAGTGCGTGCTGGCACATACATGTACACGTGTGTCATACTCGTGCACATGAAGCAATGCACTCATACATCTGCACATATTCACCCACAGACACACACATGCACCTATGTGGCCATCAGGGGTGCTGGCATGGTCCCCTCTGAGTAGAACGCATGCAACAGGGTCACTTACTTTTTCCTGCTCTGCCATTAGCAGCCTTCCGTATGCAGTTACCCATCACCCTCCCACCTCTCTGCTTCCCTTTTGGAAATTCCTGATGCTTCCGCTCCAGCCCTTGGATCTTTTTTATGTTCACTTTAAAAGTCCCTGGAAGATACGTAAAGTTCACACTGCTCCCCAAAAGGTTTCTGGTTCGAGTCTATTCAGAGGAGCCTTGAAAGAAAGACCTGAAAGACTTCTGAAAGATTACAGCCAATTACTCTGAGCTACACGGGGGCACCATGAGTCAGAACAGACACTACCACTGGTTTCTCTCCTCTCTTGGCTCCATGTACATGTCTGTGCTTCTTGCATGGGACAAACACAAACTTTAGCATATAGCAGACGCTCAGTAAAATGAATTTCCTTCTCCTATGCTGCTTTGATGTCTTCTTCACTTACCCTCCTTTGAGAAGAAATGCGTTAAACCAAGTTCTTTCGGCATTCGTTGTGCTGAACTGAAGACTTGGTCTGGGGGATAGTATCTGATTTTTCTCAGTAATGACACATCCCATCTGCATCTTGTCCTCTTCCCATGGGGACCTGGTGTCATCCAGTGCCACTGAGGAGTACTGAAATGATGCATTAAACACTGGGCAGCCAAGGCATTTCCAAGGTAGGTAGGACAGAACGGGGTTCTTAGACCCTTGAGGCAGCGTGCCCAGGCCGTCTGCAGATGTACCGAAAACCAAGCCACACGGCAGTCCTTGTGCACTGGGGCAGGTTGTTCTGATCGGACTAAGACATGCCCACTTCCCTTCTGGTTTTTCTCCCCACAGGGGCCACTCCCCAGAGTGGTACAACAAAGGGTTTGGACATCTGTGCACCGCGGAAGTCGCCAGGATCAGAAACTCTTTTCAGCCCCTCATCGCTGAGGGTCCGGAAACTAAAATCTGAGTTTCCCTCCATGTGACATCGAGCTCAGGGAAGAGGATGCAAAAGCAAACCCTACTGGAGAGAGTGAGCACACGACCGCGAGGGAGAGACAGTCGGCACGTCCATGCTGACGGCGGAAACGCTGCAAAGTCGGACAGCTGACGAGGCGAGGTTTTGCGAGAACTGTCCCCAGCCCTCCTGGAGATGGCTGCATCCCTACTAATACAATATTTTTTAAAAATCAGAGCCTTTATCTATGGTCCTTAAGATTAAGTGGATTATTCCTATGCATTGCCTAATTTGCTATTTAAAGGCTTCCAAGAAGCATATCCTTAACTGTAAATAAATGTATGTGTCACACATGTACATACGTGTGTATTTCTCTACCTTCACTGTATGTATGGAGAGTGCCGATTTTATGTGGAGTTGGGCGCTTTGAGAAGGAGCGAGGGGATTCGGGGAGCCGTGGCCTCACTAAGCTCCTTCCATCGTCGGCCCACTGTCATAGCAGCCAAGGAGAGTCTGCCATTGACAGCAAGGTGGGGCAGTGCTGTCTGTCAGTCCGCCCCGACATCCAACCAGAGATGTGCTGACCAAAGGAAACAAACGTGCAACGGTCTTGTGTGTTGACTGTGTCACTTGCAAACTGAGAGTGGCATGTTGAATAGAACATGCAAAGGGACTCAGTGGGTAAGAAGCCATGGCCAAAGTTAAGGCCAGAGCGCAGGCGACCACTGGGCACTGCCAGATGCCATTTCAGTCAAATGTCAGCGAGTAACTGAAGTAGATACAACTGAAGTTAGAGCTAAATCGAGTCGCCTTCACACACCCACAGCCAGAAGAACTGCTATGTTTTCTAACAGCTTCCTAGATACCTTTGTGTTACATGTGCTTAAGTGCTACTTCCTTTGACCAGTGGCCTTTTTGTCATGGTAAACTGGCGTTTTTATAACCAATGGATTGCACTGATTCTAATTCTGGATCCAAGTAAAGGGAGATAGTGTTTATCCAAGAGGACCAGAACATTATAGCTTCAGGGATCTCACATGTTGTTACATAGGTGCCTTTAAAATGTAGTCCATTAAAATCTTGTCACCTGAAAGCCAGAGTTTGTAATCAACAGAAGACCAAAACTATGTCCTTTAATTAGTTTTAGGAAATAAATCAACACTTTGATGAATTCTGTGTTTCTTTGTTAGCTGGCCCACGCTCCACAGGCATGCCACCCAGTCTTATTTATTGTTTATAGATGAAGCAAGTGGACTGGAACCCATTGCCGATGGACGTAAGTTATGTTCTTAATATAATTGCACATTTGTACAGACAAAGATAAATTACCATGTTTCCTTTCAGGCAGAGGGTTTTGTTTGTTGGTTGATTGTTTTTTCAGTTAAGTTTTAGCAACTGGTATTGGAGGAAGAAAAGAAAAGAACTTAAATGGGTGTTTTCCATTATTTTTGTACTATATGTGTTTATGTCATATTTTTTCTTATCAGCAATGTGCAGTTCTTCTGTTGAGAGGAATAAAAGTGCTATATATGAGTTCAGTGTGATGCAAAAAAAATCTACTGTTTGAATTACAGCCTAGGAATTTCTCATTTCCATGCTCTGTGAGAAAGTTAACAGCAAACCCAAAATGTACCACTTGGGCAGCTGCTCTCTGAGCAAAATAAATTCACTTCAGCCATTGCATTTTTACTTTAACCATAAATGCTGTATTTCTTTAATTTATATAGAGGATTGTTTAAACAACAACAACAAAAAAAAAAAAAAAACACTGCCATGGAGTCAGACCCAACTCATAGCGACCCCTCCTTGGGTTTCCAAGGCAGTATCACTATGGAAGTAGGTTGCCCAACCTTCCTTCCGAGGAGTGGCTGGTGGGTTTGAACTGCCAGCCTTCTGGTTAGCAGTCAAATGCCTAAGGCACTACACCAGTGAAGTTTAATCTAGCAAAAACCTGGCCCTGCCTAGAAATGGGACCAGCCGTGTTTGGGAAATACGGCGTCCAGCACAGGGTGAGAAGACTAGCAGTGCCCGGAATGGTGCTTCTGAAACTCCAAAGTGTAGGCAGACCACCTGGGGTCTCGTTAAAATACAGACTCCGGCAGGGAGCTGAGCTTCTTACTGTATCTGTAACAAGCCTGAGGACCCCCTGCTTTTGGTCCACGGACCACACTTTGAGAAGCGAGGGCCGGGAGGATAAGGACTAACCTGATCATGTTTCCAGACACCCCTTCTCTTTAAATCACCCTACTTTTTAAATGCACATGCTAATCGCATCACAGCTGTGGAACGACACAGTGCGTCTTAGAAAAGGAAAAAGAAAGAAAACGGAAGGGAAAAATAAAAAGGTGCATCAAGCATGTTTGTTAGCTGGCATGGTCTTTCATTCATTGTTATCTTGCCAATGGAAATAAAATACAATATTGCGTTTTAATGTTATATTTATACCTCATGTATATTTTTTACCTCAGTTGTTGGCAGCAGTCATTGATTGTAAATAAACAATTGCCAAGGCAAACAAATTTATATACATTAAATATTTCCAATTTCCTACCAAACACGTTGGTTTTCATGCTTCACCCCCAAGTGGGAACCCTGTTTCAGAAGGAAGACAGTTGACAGGAGCTTGGGTCCTCGGTACCAACGCCATGTCCAACGCACAGTTATCCACCAGCATTCACTAACCGTCAGCAGCCCCTGCGTCTAAGGCAATCATGGTGGTGGGGATGTTTTCATACCACACGCCAGATGCTGTCGGGGCGGCTCGGAGTCTGGGCTGCCCCTGAGCGTCAGCTTAGCTGTGCTCAGAGGACTTTCAGGGGCTGGTCGCTCACAAGCAGGTCAGCAGGCCTTTTTTCTGAGGCACCTCTGGGAGACTGAACTTCCAACTTTCCGTTAGTAGCTGAGGGTGTCTGGGGCTTTAGGGGGGTGTTCTGGTTCCCTAGTGCCGCTTTGACAGGAATATACCACCAATGGGATGGCCTTAAGAAACAGGAGTTTATTCTCTTACAATTTGGAGGCTTTAAATCCTAGTTCAAAGTGCCAGCTCTAGGGGCTGGGTGAAAGCCCCTTGACCTTGGGGTCCAGCTCTGCCTCCTGCTCCCGGCCCACTGAAGCTAGAGGCGTATCTTCACTCAGACAGCTGCTGGCTGCTGAGGCTGACAAGCCCAAGGTTGACAAGTCAAAAGGCACAGTCCCGATGTTACCCAACCACACGGCAGGCCATTAACTTAAGTCCATTGTAAGTCCCAAGGTCAGCAGAGCATGGCAGGCTGCTGAGCAACGACACGGCTCCATGCAGGGTCCAAGCGTGCCACAGGCTAGAGACCATTCCCAAGGCTTCTCCTTATATACGGGAAGTGGACCACATCCCAAAGGCAGCTACTCCGCTGCTTGTGGTAGATTCCACCATGGAGCTGATTGCCAGTCTCATCATGGGGAACAACTACCACCAGCTGCCCAGCCACTCAACCAGGCCCAGCCCAGTTGACACGCAAATGTAACTACCACCATCAGTGAAAAACGGGAAGGCCCTCAATGAGTAAGAAGCTAGAGACTATCCCCAAGGCTCCTCCTTATACACAGGAAGCAGACCACATCCCAAAGGCAGCTACTCAGCTGCTTGTGGTAGATCCCACCATGGAGTTGATTGCCGGTCTCATCATGGGGAATGACTACCACTGGCTGCCCAGCCACTCAACCAGGCCCAGCCCAGTTGACACACAAATTTAGCTACCACAGGGGGCATGTTTATTCTTAATAAACACAGGGTTTTCGCTGGATTCCATGACGCCCTCATCCGAGTTTCATTTTGTTGAGGAGACGAAGACTTACAGCCCCGCCGCTGGACGAGGACAGTGGCCTCCCTGAGGGGGCGCCTCTCGCCCACCATCCCTCAGTACTTCCCTCTAAAGCTAAGCCGGCAGGAACCCTGAGCCTCCTCAGGGGCAGGCGTGGTGTCGTGTGCTATCAATTCGAGTTCATGGTGACCCCATATGATAGAGTGGACCTCTCCACAGAGTTTCCTAGGAAGTGATCTTTTCTTTTACCTAATAAAAAATTTTTTATTGTATAGAGGAGAGACTCAGAGAAGAAAAAGAGAATATCCAGTTAATTATTCCCAGATTCCTTATTCGTATTTCCAGGCCTCCTTTTAAATGGATAAAGTCATCCTTGTTGTCACCATTCCCACCATCATCCCCTCCCCCATCCTCACTGTCCCGCCATCAACTCCGTCCACCTCATCACCATCCCACCATTAGGGACTGCACTGTGTCCCAACCCTCTAACTTTGGCTGTAACCCTTCTGGAACAGAGACTTCCTTTTTT